CTTCTACTTTTTTTTTCATTTATCAGTTTGTTCAAGTAGCGATGCTTATTAAAAATCCTGATTTACTATAATTTTCTTTATTTTCAGATTAGGCTTCGAACAATAGTAGAGATTAGTATAGTACAGTAAGTATAGTTCTTCTGAATATTCTTTTTAGTTATAACTAACTAACTCTTCTCTTTTTTTCGCAAGTGTGTAGATAGGGTAATTACATAGCTGAAACTGGAAACTGGATTTGAAGGTTTGTTTCTTTTTTTGTCTTTTTGGTATGAACTAACTCTTCTTTTCTTTAGATAGATTTGAGCTTCGCCGAGGCATGAAACAACACCATATATTGGAGATTATAGTTGAAACCGGATCTGTAAAGATAAGTACCAGACTTTGGTAAGTTTATTTGTTTTTTTTTTTTTTTGTTTTCTCATTCTTAACTAATGTTTTTTCTTATTTTTACAGGTTTGTACTTTCACCAGGGAAAGCGAAATAACTCTGGGTAGAGTGGAACCAGTGACTCTGGTATAAAGAGATAAGTGTTCTTGTCTCAATTCTTTGCTTTTTTTTTTCATTCTTGTGACTAATGTTTTTGCCTTGCAGATTTGCTTCGTTGGTGTGAGCGAAATGGCATACAGAATGGTGATTGAACCGGGAATTGTGAATTGAAGCTGAGAAGGCAATTTAGACTTGGAAGGAACTTGAGAACAGTCTATTGGTAAGTACTAGTTTCCAGTTTCTTGATTTTATATTCAATTCTTTTTTTTTTTCCTCATTACTAATACTTTCTCTTTTAGATTTCGCCTGAGAATATGAATTGACGCCGGGGAACGTGAATTAACACCGAGAAGAATGATTTGAACTTGGAAGAAACCTAAGACTGGTATAGCAATAAGTACCGGTTTCTGGTTTTCATTTTTGGAGGGTTTTTTTTTTGTTGTTTTTTTTTTTTACTAACCTTTCTTTAGATCGCCAGAAAATGTGAATTGAAACCGGGAAAAGCAATTTGGGCCTGGAAGGAACTTTGGATCTCTCTATTGGTAAGTTCTAGTTTTTGGTTTCCGGTTTCACACCAATTTTTATTACTAGCACTTTCTCTCTAGCTTTCATCGGGAAACGTGAATTGACGCCAGGAAACGTGAATTGATGCTGAAAAACATGAATTGACGCCAGGAAGAATAATTTGGACTTGGAAGAAATCTGAGACTGGTCTAACAATAAGTACCAGTTTCTGGTTTTTCTTTTTTGTTTTTTTTTTTCAGGTGTTTTTTTTTCCTTTTACTAATCCTTTCTTAAAGTTCATCGGAAAACATGAATTGACCCCAGAAAGAACGATCTGAACTTGGAAGAAACCTAAGACTGGTCTAACAATAAGTACCAGTTTCTGGTTTCTCTTTTTTTGTTTATTTGTTTTTTATTTTTTATTTTTTATTTTTTTCTCATATTCACATTATTTTAGCTTTTACCAGGAAATATGAATTAAGACCAGAGATGACAATGCGGTTTGGAGGTAATACGACGAAAAGGCCGAATGGCTTTGATTATGAAGTTATGTAATAGTAATTGATGGCAAATAAAATAATAAAATAGTAATTAGTAATCAATAGTTTAAGAGACATGGGGTTGTAGAAATTTTATATAGATATATAATTTGTATAAACGAAGAATTTTAATAAATAAAAGTTTTATTTTATCGTTTTTATTAATATTTCTATAATAAAATTTAATAAATTATTTTTTGTAATATTATTTGCATTGTTTTGTGTTTTTGTATATTTTTTCGCAATATTGTGCAATATTATGCAAATTGTTATATTATATTTATTACAATCTTTTTTACATTATTTCGCATTATTTCGCAAATTTTTGAATTATTTCGAAATATTTCGAAAATTTTCAATTGCTAATATTATTGAAATTTTCGCAATATATTGCAAATTATTTCGCAATATTTCGAATTTTTTTAAAATTTTTCAAAATTATTTATTTCAAAATATTTTGCATCGATCACAATAATTTCAAAATATTTCAGCACTACAAATTCTTTCGCAATATTTTGTTTATATTTTTTGCTGATGTATATTTATTGTTACTAAATTTTTATTTAAAGTTCTTAGTATTTATTGTCACAAATTAAAATGAAATCTGATTAAAACAAAATTTTTCTGTTTTTTAAGAAAAATTTAAAAATTTTTGTGAAAAATTTTTTGAGATTCTTTTTAGTATTAGGGATAGAGTTTAGGGTTAGGCTTATTAATAAATGAGTATATATAGAGTTTATAGGCTCTAAGGGTGGACATAAGAGGTTCTCAGTTTCATTTTGATCAGATTTCATTTTAATCTGTAACAATAATTGTTACAAATTAAAATAAAATCTGATTAAAATGAAACTAATGACCTCTTATACCTACTCTTAGAGCCTATAAAACTTACATATACTCATTTATTAATAAATCTAACTCTAAATCCTACCCCTAATACTAAAAAGAACCTCAAAAAATGTTTTTCAAAAATTTTTAAATTTTTCTTAAAAAATAGAAAAATTTTATTTTGATTAGATTTCATTTTAATCTGTGATAATAATTACTAATTGTTGTAAATTTTAAAGTATATAAATGCAAAAGGTTTAAATAGATAACTTAAATAAACAAGTTGTAGATACAACATTTAGTGTAGAATCTAGTAATAGATAGACTACTTAAATAAATACCCAAAAAACACAGGCATAACTAGTTTTTACTCTTTAAATACAGTCTAACCTTCCTATAATTACACCCTTTAAGATAAAGATTTATGTGATTGTAAAAAGAATTTTACTAAGATGTGCTTATAAAAAGGTTTTTTTTCTATATGTTTATAATAGTTGGTTTTAAAATAAATATGCTTATAAAGAGAATTTTTATATGATGTGTTTATATAGAGGGTGACTATAGAAAGGTTTGATTGTATATATTAAACAATAAAAACACACTTGACTGAAGAAGTTATTTTAATACCAAAAAAAAAAACTAATATTTCTATATTTTGGTTTGTTTTTTATAAATTTTTATATAAAGAATCAAAAATTTTACTTTATTTTTAAAAAAAATTTACTTGTAAATTTGATTTTAATCATTTTTTATCTATAACCTAATTTTTAAACTTCAAAATTGGCTTAATATAAACCTATATATTATGTTCAGTGTTGGCCACTTTTATAAGTCCAATAATTTGAATTTTTACGTTTCAATTGGAATCTATAAGTTCAATATTAAGTTATAAGTTCAGTAAAACAATTGCCCAACACTGATTATATTATAAAAATTGCATATTACAGGTTTCGCATGCCAAGTTCGTACAAATTGACAATCAAAATTCGCACATACATATAGCTAAATTAATACTCTGATTAAATAGTGATATCTCATGATCTAGTAATGATAATTATGTAATTTTGATACCATTAGATTTGTTTTGTCAAGACGAATTCAACAATACCAAATCACATAATTATAATTAATAGATCATGAGATATCACTATTTAATTAAAGTATTAATTTAGCTATATGTACGTACGAATTTTGATTGTCAGTTTGTATGAACTTGGTATGCGAAACCTGTAAAACCAACATTTCGTGTTAAAGGCCTGCATGAACTTAAAAAATTGTATTTGTGTCGGTCCGTAAAATAAAATTTGTTTTTAATAGTTTGGCTCACATTACTATATGGGGTGTCGTCAATAGAAACAGCCTAGTTTACAAACAAATTTTGTGTAAATCAAATTTTAAGTAATGATCTACAAATAGTAATACGTATAAAATTTATCAACTTAAAGTTCGTTTTGTTATTATAAAATTAGCTTTCATAACTTAGAGCAAACTTTTTTTTATATATTCAAAATTCCAATAAAAATTTTGTTGAAAATTGGATTTTTCGATTGACGGCACCCCATATATCGATATGTTTTTGACACATCTAGCTTATATACTAAGTTTTTTAATTTCGGCCCGGCGTGCGGGCCTCTATTCTGAGGTATAAATCACATGAAAAATAAACTACCCAAGTTAGTTTATCGCATACGTAGCGATAATGGCAATACATACTAATAATAGTAATTAAAATACGTGTATATTTATCATTATTATTTCAACATATTTGACCATAGCATTTCCTATTCCAAAAGGGGATTGTCTAAAGCCAGGTAGTAATTTATATGCCTTACGTGACTTTTACTTTACAAATTTATTATTAATCAACTTAAAAACTACCCGGCTTTAGACGATTCCCTAAAAAGCCCAATGATAACTGTCTTAGTATTCCGGCATTTACGTACATACGTATGTACGTATCAATCGTCGGATTCAAAATCAACTTTTTTTTTGCAATATAAGGCATACAAACTCAATAAATCGGTTCTCTTTCTAAAAAATTTATAACAAATTTTATGTTTTTTATATATAAAATTTTTTGAAAATAAAATTAAAAGCCGGCACTTTCAAAATTTTATGTTATGAGAACCGATTTATTAAGTTTGTATGGCCTAAGTTATTGCATTTACATAAATTAATAATAGTGATCCAATAATAATTGCGAAAAAATACATCTTTTGAATACTTGGTGAACTTTGACAGATTACAGTTTATCGGTTTTGCTGGCTTAGTTGATCGAAATCTAAATAATTCGAATTATTTAAATATGAAGAATTAAGAATTAAGAATTAAGAATTAACATTAACGTTAAATCTATCTACTGCTACGTCTTTATTTATTTTTAAAAAAAAATTTCCGATTTTAACTATTTTTATCGGTCAGGATTACTACCCGTATTTTCGGCCGAGTTTTCCAAACCCAATGAAAGTTCTCAATCATAATATCCTGTTTGTTACTGGTTTATAAATTTGGGCCACAATGCACACAATTTTAATTTCAAAAATTAAATAAAAATATTGGGCATAACGGTAATAATAATAAATTATATAAAGTGATTGGATTTTTTATCGTTTTTTTTTATAACTTATTAACATTTCTAACTAAATGGACGATTATCGTCGTTATCGCAACGTCAAAGACAACTCCGCTACGAGAGAGGACCTCTTCTCTGGCGCTACTAACCAATACGGTGGAGGGTATGGTCAACAGGGTGGATATCAATATCCACCACCTGGCGGACAATATCCGCCGCCTGGTGGATATGGTTATGGTGGTTACAATGATCCTTATGGACGACAGCAACAAGAAACAGAAGAAGACGTTGAAGAGATTAAGTCTCAAATTCGAGCTACTAAAATAGACTCTTTAGCCTCTACTCAACGGTCTCTGCAGATGATCAATGATGCAGAGGAGTCAGCACAAAATACCTTGAATAAGCTTGGAGAACAAAGTCGTAAGTTTATTTAAATCTTGAAACGATTTCAGTTTACGTTATATATAAGCTATGTATACCCCTAATTCATGTGGGCTCGTTGGGAATTAAAAGTCTATATATATTGTTATTATTTAATACCCTTTTTTTACTAAAACAATTTCTTTGGTTAAATGCAGAACGAATAAATTACACGGAACGCCAAATGGATCTTGCTGGGGCACATGCAGAACGTGCAGCTGAACAAGCTGCCAAATTGAAAAAAGTTCGTTTTTGACTCACTTTAGTTAATAAATAATTATTGAATATGTAATTTATAAGAGAAAATTATTTGTAGGTTAATGGATCCATGTTCGGCTTTGATATAGGCAATCCATTCACCAAAAAGAAACGTGAAGCAGCTGAACTAGCAAGAGTTCAAGCGATGCAAGAACAACAAAGGGCCAGTAGAGAGCATATGAGAACTGGCAATTACGAATCACAAAAAAGAATTAACGAAGCTATAAAACAGAGTGATAAAGCTAGTAGTCGTGGAAAGACTCCATCATCAAATAGAAGTAGATTCCAATTCGAGGCAGATGAAGAAGATGAAAATATAGAAAATCAACTTGACAATAATTTGGATATGCTTTCGCATGGGTTGACTCGTTTGAATCATATGGTTAGTTTGCCAAAAGTATTTTTTAGTGGTGGTGAATCTAGTTATTTACAACCAATTTTCTTAATTTTTTTAACTTTAGGCTAAAGCGGCTGGAGACGAAGTGAGGAAACAAAATGAAGTTTTGGATCGTATTTCTGATAAGACAGTTGGATTGGATAATCGTATTACTGGAACAACCCACACGTTAAAGAAGATTTAATTATAAATTATTAGGGAAATGAATGTAGAAAAATAGCTTTGTGTTATTATAATCATTTTTTGGCAAAGTATAATTATCCGAATTTTATGGATAAAGTAGATTTATCATTTATCTGTAACATTACAAATGTTTTTTTTATAAATTTTATAATCATCTTTAATATATCTTATACGTTTATGCTAATTTCAAAGTGTTATCAAACTTTTAAGTTTGGTATTTGATACATGATTTTTGTATTTGGCCATCAAAAATACAATTTTTTAAATAATAAAAATAAATTTAAGCCCGACATTATGTGATGAGATATATAATAACTAAAAAGACAATATGTATAATGCCTAACTTTTTTTTAAATTTTTGTGTGCCATAAAATTACCGTAAAGTGCTGACTGTTGTATTCGGATATTTACAAAGACTAAAGACGTATTCGGGACATATTTTCATTGATCTTTGCCAGTCTTCAAAGGTTTATACCATCTGGCTATTCTTCAAAATATATAGATTATTGTCCTTTAAGACATAATACGAATAATATTCGGAAATAAATTTCTAGTTTTCAAATCGTTGTGTACAACACGGTATATTTAAATTTATTACGTATAAACTAGCGGTAAATATCCGACATATTAATGTTTAATAAGCTTATTTAAGATATTGGCAAAAAACATGCGTGTTTTTTTATCTGTTCTAAGAACTCATTTGAGAATATATAAATGACATAGTATTCTTTCACATCTATTGACATTGCCAAATTACAAATCTATAATATGATGGAATTCTTATGGAGTTTTAAATATATCTATTTGAACTTTGAATTAGAATCAAAAATCATCTTGGCTAATTAACCCTTTCATAACTTTTAGTTAATTGAGAAATGTAGTGGAAATGTGACCATTTTTCCGCAATTCTATCCATTTTTAATCTCTATATTTGTGTATATAACGATATGAATATTGGATTGTAACGTTAGACCTTTAATATTAGTGTATTTAGATTCCTATCGCTATAAAGTTTATATACTCAACATTGAATAATTGATCGTAGAATAACAGGTTTTTTTCGTTTATCATAGCAAGATTGGTCCTGTTTCGATCAATACTTCCACGTTTCGGCGTCCATTCAATATTGTATTTCTTGATTATTATTTCCTTCTTTTGATGTATCCGCGTTTTTATTATTATTATCCGCGCTTTTATTATTATTATCTGATATTTTTCTGCATAAAAATCATAATCCATAATTGAAAGGGCTAACTTGTAATCTAATAATATATATATATAGATTGAAAATAACAAAATATTTACAGTATCAAGGATGGTAAAAAAATTACCTTTATTAATCAATTTCTCGTTATTAAAATTTTCCTCATTTTTTTCAGTAGTTGAATGTAAAACTTGAACTATTATGATCCTCGTGGTTTGTTTTTCTGCTTCAGTTTTCTTCTATATAATTATTGAGGTTATTTGGATCGTAGGAAGTTTTTTCAAAAAAAAAAATAAAAAAATTCATCACTAAATCTTATCAATAATTTGGTACCTGGAGAAGATTATTATTACAAATCTCTTTTTTTTTTTAGTAAATTAAAAAAATGTTAATTCTAACCTTCAATGTTGAATAATAAATAAAATTAAGATGTGCTCGCTTGTATAAATGTCGTGTTTCCAGTATTTATATACAGTGAACAATAGCTTTTTCTGAAAAAGAAAAAAAGGTTTAAAAATCCTAATATAATATACACATACTGTAAAATAATGAACTTTACCATTGATTTATTAGTCTTTCAACTATTTGATGGTTCTATATACTCTCACAAATAATGTTATTTATTACATATTAAATGTAATAATAAATTTGAATTCATTTCTTTCAATTTCTTTCTTAAGAGAAGGATCATTAAGTTTCAGTATTTGAGGTGTTGTCATACACCTTTATCAATGGGTCAAGAGTGTTGATGAATAAATTTTATTAGTAAAAAATGTTAAGTATATCATTTCAATTTACAAACTTTTTAATACAACCATCTTTTTTTTATACCTGACCTAATACAATATTACCATTAATTGAGTATTCAAAAAGATCACTCAAGTAGCTTTGTCATAGACCTAATTTGTATCATCAACGAATTATTATACATTTATAAAAAATAAAAATAGAGATATTAGAAACCCCAAAAAACAATTACGAATATTTACCATGCTCTTTCTTTTCTGCAGCAAATATTTCTAGTTTTTATATTGATATTTTTTATCATTATTAACTTTATAGAAGTTAACTTTCCATTTTGCCGATAAATTTTTCATTTCGTATAACAATTAAATCTTAACAAAGACCTAAACCTAATAACAATGACATTTGATAAATAAGAGAAATATTAATGAATCGTTCAAGTATTTAATTGCAATGTTTATTTTGATTGATTATAATAAATAAGCATTGTTACGTTTACTTCAGGAATAATGTTTGGAAAAACTTTGATTACACCATAGCTTGCATACTTGATCGTGAATATGCACTACAGTATTATGGATCATTAGTTAATCACGTCGAGTTAAGATTGAAAACGTCCTTGTTCATCAACATTTTCCATGATGCATCACATAAATTCAGTATAGTTTTCGGAAATCTCTTCTAAATTTATTTCTTCAATTGCACTATCTCATAGTACTCTTTTGATAAGGTGTAATCCCGATTGAACTGGGATAGAACAAAGATCAATTATCCAGACAATAGAGGATCGTTTTTTTTCACTATATCACAGTAAGAAAATATTTAAAGCTCAACAAAATCATAAACTTTTGCAGTTTCATCATAAATATAATAGATGCCAAGTATATAAATAAATGATTTATACCATATTATCTGTTATATTTGTATAAATAAAATTTGTGCAGACACTTTTGATAGCTTCACGTATACTACAAAATATGAAGATTGGTTAGGTGGTGGTTTATGATTTTACTTATTTATGCAAGTAATACAAACCAAAAAAGGAAATCGAATTTTGTAAATAAACTAAATGTGTAAAGATAGAAGTTTAGGGTTAGTGCGTTAACATTAGATGCTATAACAATAGATTGTTATTCATTATATATAAAATTTCGTTTCCAAAATTTTTAATTAGTAAACCAATGTCAATTTAAAATAGGCGAATATAAAGCCATTCAAGTTTGTGAATATTTAATTTCCTGTACGTACATAATATTTTATTTTATTTTATCTTCATGTCAATTAGTCAGTGTGCATAAAAGATTATGTTAATGAATTAACCACTTTTATACTTAACTTACTCACCATATTGATGCGAATAAAATTAAATAATATATACGTAGCTTATTATAATATTGTATACTCCATTGACACGACGGTAAGTATTATCAAACTCATTGATTAATTGATAATCCGCCTATGAACTGGAGAATAGGCGAAATGAGACGTCTGCCATCTAAAACTTTTTTCTTACTAAGTTAACGATACATGCTCATTAATTGAAAATTGTAAAGCTCGTCGAGACGCATCTAACGGTGGTTAGATCATCCAAATCGGCCCAGTGGATGGCGAGATATCGTCGAAATACGATTGGCTGACTATATAAAAATCCGTGACAGAAATTACATATGAAAATCACCATCGGCGAAACGTGGCGTGCTCCCATCTAAAACTTTTTTTCTTACTAAGTTAACGACACATGCCCATTAATTGAAAATTGTAGAGATCGTCGAGACGCATCTAACGGTGGTTAGATCATCCAAATCGGCCCAGTGGATGGCGAGATATCGTCGAAAAACGATT